GTGAATGGCCAAAGAGTGCCAATGGAGGTGGCCCTGCTCCTCCGCGTGGCACACATCCCCCAGGTGGTTCGGCTCCTGGACTGGCTGGAGAGAGATGACTCCTTCCTACTGATCCTCGAGCGCCCGGACCCCTGCAAGGATCTCTACGATTACGTGACGGAGAGAGGACCCCTGCCGGAGAACGAGGCCAGGGATTTGATGCTACAGGTGGGTGGGGGCTGCTGGGCGTCTCTTGGTTCTTTGTTGTTGTTGTTTGTTGTTGGTCTTTGGGTTCTTCGTCTTCTTCTTCTTCTACTACTTCTATTTCGTTGTCTTCTGCTGTCTCTCTTTCTTTTTCTTGGTCTCTTCCTTTCGTTTTTTGACGTTCTTACTTTCCTTTGCTTCACTCTTTGTTTGTTTCTCTTTCTCTTGCTCCCTTTCTATATCCCATTTCCTCTCTCTCTCTCTCTCTCTCTCTCTCTCTCTCTCTCTCTCTCTCTCTCTCTCTCTCTCTCTCTCTCTCTCTGTCTCTCTCTCTCTCTCTCTCTCTCTCTCTCTCTCTCTGTCTCTCTCTCTCTCTCTCTTCCCCAATCATAAAAGCAAAACAATAATGATAATGATAATATCTGAATATAACACCCCACCCCCTCTCTCCCCCCCTTTATCGCCACCATACTAAGCCCCATCTTTCTCCCCCTCCCCCCTCCTCCCGCAGGTCGTGAGCATGGTCCTGGCGTGTCACATGGCGGGCGTGATCCACCGCGACATCAAGGACGAGAACCTGCTGGTCACCACGGACCGCCACGGACGCGTCGCCCTCAAGCTCATCGACTTTGGGTCCGGCGCCTTCTTCGTCAGGGACAAGGTCTACACGGACTTCGAGGGTGAGTCTGTTGTTTGTTTTGTTTGGTTTTACTTGTTTTGGTTTGCTTTTTGTTGGTTGGTTGGTTTGGTTTGGTTAGTGTTGTTTTCTGGTTTTATGTTTCGTTTGTTCCTGTACGGGGTGGTGGTGTTTTTTTTTTTTTTTTTTTTTTTTTTTTTTTTTTTTAGGTTTAGTTAGGTTTATGTATAAATTTATTCATATTTATGTATTTATTTGATTATATTTTGTTTATTTTGTGGATTGATTTTTTTTTACACGATTGTTTAAAAGTTTTATTTGATTCTATTCCAATGAATATTATTATTACTATCATTATCTTTATTAGTTATTATTATTGTTCTCACCATTATTACTCTGATTATTATACTGTTATTCATTTCTCTTTTACCTTATGATTTCACAATAAATCGAACAGTCGAAAGCGAGATTATTAGAGAGAGAGAAAAATGGATCGTGATTGTTATCAGCTTGATGTTAAACCGACCTGGATATTGGGGAAAGAAAACGGAACTCGTGACTAACTTTTAGGCACGTTTTCTTTCTCGTTTGTGCGGTCAGTTATTTTATTTTTTTCTTTCTTTCTTTCTTTCTTTTCGTTATTTTTTTGTGCGTGTTTGTGTGGTGTTTTTGTTTTTTATCTTGTGTTTTATTTTGTCTTCTATTCCTTTTTTCCTTTTCTTTTTTCTTTTCTTTTGTTAGTGTACATGTTTGTTTGTTTTTATGCTCATTCATTAACTCGCTTGCTCATCCACCTATTATTCACTTACTTTCATTACCCACATATTTACTCACCTATTACTCACACATTCACTCACTCACTCATCCATTACTCACACATTCACTCATTCACTCATCCGCTCTCACACATTCACTCACACTCACATAACCGCTCTCACACATTCACTCACTCACTTATTACTCACACATTTACTCACTCACTCACCCACTTTCACACACTCTTACTCACTCACTCACCCGCTCACCCACTCTCACCCACTCTTACTCACACACCCACTCTCACACTCTCACACTCTCTACTCACACACTCACGCATGCACTCTACTCATATTCCCCCGCGCACTTCCCGCATACTTTCCCTGCGATAATTACCTTCAGAATTCTGCCTCGACCGTAAGTTATGAGGAAGTGCCACACAAACATGCGCAGCCGACGTCGTTACTGTCTGGAACCATGCACGACCCCTACCTGACCCCCTCCCTCCCTCCCCCTCTCCCTCCCCCCCTCTTTCTGTGTGCTTGTTTCTGATTTTTCCCCTCCTCTTTCTTTCCCTTTCTCTCTTTCTCTCTTTCTCTTTCTTTCTTTTTCTCTCTCTCTCTTTCTTTTTCTCTCTCTCTTTTCTTCTCTTTCTCTCATGCTCTCTCTCTCTCTCTCTCTCTCTCTCTCTCTCTCTCTCTCTCTCTCTCTCTCTCTCTCTCTCTCTCTCTCTCTCTCTCTCTCTCTCTTTTCCTCTCTTTCCCTAAGAGAGAGAGAGCAAGACGGAGCGACGTTCATCCACTCAGCGAAATGTCTCAATAGAAGACTTGTCCACACTCTCTTTACCCCCCCCCCCTCCCTCTTTCTCCTCCTCTCCCCTCCTTCCACTTTGCTGTCAAGATCATGTGCAAAAATTGGGGTCATGCATTACCATGCACACCACGCTACAAGCAGGCATGACCAGCTCAGAAGGCCCCTCCTCCTCCTCCTCCTCCTCCTCCTATTCCTCCTCCTCCTCCTATTCCTCCTCCTCCTCCTCCTCCTCCTCCTCCTCCTCCTCCTCCTATTCCTCCTCCTCCTCCTATTCCTCCTCCTATTCCTCCTCCTCCCTCTTCCTCCCCCCCCCTCCTCCTCCTCCTCCTCCTCCTCCTCCCACCTCCTCCTCCTCCTCCTCCTCCTCCTCTTCCTCCTCCTCCTCCCATTTATTTCGTTTATTATTCCTCTTCGCTGGGCAACAAGCACTCGATAATTTGCCTCGTTATTGCGGGCTGCTTGAGAGTGTTAGGTTGAAGGAGAGCGATTTTTTTTTTTTTTTTTTTTTTGTTTTTTCTTTTTACAGTTATTTGTGATATGTTCTCATGCGGGGTGACGAACAGTGAACACTTGGGTGCTTATTGGGTGATAGGCCCGGCGCTTGGGGTTGTCATGCTTGAATATCGTTGATTTGTATATATGTATGTATGTTGTCGTGGATATAGCAAGCAGTGACATATTTATGACGGATAATCATGAAGAATACATGTCTGCACCCTGTATGCATCAGGCACTTACACTTACACTTACGCACTTACACACACACGAGCTTGCACACACACACGTCCGGGCAGACACGTACACACACTTACATGCCAAGTCGATTAAGGAGAGAAAGTGTTGTCTGGAGCTCGGAGGCCTGGCGGGGGAGGCAAGGTAACCGAGAGACGGGAATTGCGGCCGATTTCTTCCACCCACTCATCCCCCCACACCCCCACACCCCACCCCCCTTTTCCCACCTCCCATCTCAGGCTCTACTCCACTTCTTCCCTCAACAGCCTCTCCCGTTGTGGAAATAAGGTAAACACACACACACACACGCACATGCACACACACACACGCACATGCACACACACACACACACACACACACACACACACACACACACACACACACACACACACACACACACACACACACACACACACACACACACACGCACACGTCGTTTTCTTGTTTGCAGTCACTTTTCTCGTGTTTTTGTGTCGTGCTTTGGAGGTGTGATAATAAAGACAGAAGGAGGGATAGAAGGATAAAAATAGAGGGAGAGGGCGAGAAAAGAAAGAGAGAGAGAGAGAGCGAGAGAGAGAGAGTGAGATAGAGAGAGAGAGAGAGCGAGAGAGAGAGGGAGAAGAGAAGAGAAAGAGAGAGAGAGAGGGTGACATTGTGGCGTAGATACCTGTCTCGGGCAACGTCAGCATGTGTCGCCTCTCCTTCCCCCCCTCTTCCCCCCCTCTCTCTCTCTCTCTCCCTCTCCCTCTCACCGTCCTCTCCCTTCTTTCCCCCCCCCCCCTCTCTCACCTCCCCCCCCCTTCTCCTCCTGCGCCCAAGATAGATCAAGATGTGATGAAGGGGGGGGGGGGGAGGGGTACAGGTATAGCTAGGACATCGTAGAGGTTAGTGGTTCTCGTGGATTCTATTGTGTGTTAATCGGGGGGGGAGGGGCGAGTAGACTCCTGGTCAGAGACTCGAGAATAGAGAGAGAGGGAGGGAAGGAGGAAGGGAGGAAGGAAGGAAGGAAGGAAGAGAGAGAGGGGGGGGGGAGAAGGGAGAAAGGAAGAGTGAAGGGAAGGGGGCCAGAGTGAGAGAGAGGGGGGGAGGGCAGATGGATGGAGAGAGAGGGAAGTAAGGGAAAAAGAGAGAGATTGGAGGGGAAACAGGCAGAGAGAGAAGAGAGAGAGAGAGAGGGTGACATTGTGGCGTAGATACCTGTCTCGGGCAACGTCAGCAATGTGTCGCCATCAGCTTCCCCTCCTCCTCTCGCCTCTCTCTTCCCTGTTTCCCCTTCTCCTCTTCCCTCACTTCACATCCCTCTTCCTCCCTCTTCTCCCATCCCCTTTCCCTAATCTCCCTTCCCTTTCCTCCCCCCCTCCCCTCTCTCCTCCCTTCCCATCCCTCTCCTCCCCCCCTCTCTCTCTCCTCCTCTCCCGTCCTCCCACCTTCCCCCCCCTCTCTCTCTCTCCCTCTCCCTCTCCCGTCCTCTCACCTTCTTCCCCCCCCCCCTCTCACCTCCCCCCCCCTTCTCCTCCTGCGCCCAAGATAGATCAAGATGTGATGAAGGGGGGGAGGGGGGAGAGGGGTACAGGTATAGCTAGGACATCGTAGAGGTTAGTGGTTCTCGTGGATTCTATTGTGTGTTAATCGGGGGGGGGGGGGGAGTAGACTCCTGGTCAGAGACTCGAGAATAGAGAGAGAGGGAGGGAAGGAGGAAGGAAGGGAGGAAGGAAGGGAGGAAGGAAGGAAGGAAGAGAGAGAGGGAAGGAGAAGGGAGAAAGGAAGAGTGAAGGGAAAGGGGCCAGAGTGAGAGAGAGGGGGGGAGGGCAGATGGATGGAGAGAGAGGGAAGGAAGGGAAAAAGAGAGAGATTGGGAGGGAGACAAGCAGAGAGAGAAAGAGAGAGAGAGAGAGAAGGGGGGGAGGGGTGAAAGGAGAATAGTATCTGTTGTGGGAACATGTGGGTTTTGTTCATACTTGTTGTTATTGGTTAGGCTATTGTGTTCTATGTTTAGCTTTCTCCCTCTCCTCCACGTGTAAACTATTCCTCCTTCTCTCTCTCTCTCTCTCTCTCTCTCTCTCTCTCTCTCTCTCTCTCTCTCTCTCTCTCTCTCTCTCTCTCTCTCTCTCTCTCTCTCTCTCCCCCCCCCCCCACTTGGTGTTTTTCCCTCAGCATATGTTAACACCCATCCCTCCCCCGCTGCTCTACCCCCCCTCCCTTTCGCCTTCCCCTCTCCGCCCCCCCCCCATTCCTACCTCTCTTCTTTTCCCCTCTCCCCCTCCCCTTCCTCCCCCTCCCCTTTCCGCCCTGCTCTCCCCACCCACGCAGGTGAAGGAGGAGTGTAGGCTGGAGAAAGTTCGGAGAAGCAGAGCATGACGGAGTGAGTGGAGGGGGAGGGAGGGTGGAGGGGGGAGGAGGGGGAGGGGGGAGGGTGGAGGAGGAGGGAGGGGGAGGGTAGGGGAGTAGGGAGGAGGTTATAGGGAAGGAGGGTAGGGGAGGAGGCAGGGGGAGGTGAGGAGGAGGGAGGAGGAGGGAGGGGGAGGGTAGGGGAGTAGGGAGGAGGTTATAGGGAAGGAGGGTAGGGGAGGAGGCAGGGGGAGGTGAGGAGGAGGGAGGAGGTTTGGAGGGAAGGTAGGGTAGTGGAGGAGGGGAGAGGTTTAGTAGGGAGGGGGTGGGGGGGAGGGGGTCGACCCGCCGGACTCGAGTGCAGACGAGGAGATTTGATTTTCGGCCGAGCAAAAGCTTGAGGCAGTTTCCGTG